TGTCTTTGCTTTTCTTCCCTATGATTTGTGAGGAACCTCAAGAAGAGTGTCCTTTTTTGGTTTTTTTGTATCTTTCCCTTGTGGGAATTGCTTTTTCCCATTTACTTATGTGAATTTTCAATAATTAAGTGTCTTCCGTCATGACAACACCTTTTAGCTCTCATGCTACCTGGTAAGTTTATTTGCAAAGAATGTCACTAGGAGAAATGTCTTGAAGGAATCAATACGTGAAAACATGAATTCTAGACTGAGACCCTTTTAGAAGTTAGTACCTGTTATTACTGAGTGTGATGTTTTACTCACTCATTAATTTACTGTTTTCTTCCAAAGCCTATGAATGTGGACAGGCAAATTAAAGTGATTTAAAAGTTTTTTTCCTTCCTGTTTTCTCTTTCAAGTGCATAGTGTGCACTGCCCTAGCTTGGTATCTTATTGCTACCCCCTTTGTATGGCTGCCAAGTTTTCTTGCATAATTTTCTTGACAAATGGCTTACTCATTAATATTTCAGGCCTATTCCTACCAACCTCAGACAAGTGGTATGCCCCAGGCACGGAAATGTAGTTTCTTCCTTAGGAGGCTTCTATTCTTTTACTTAAATGCTTTGTCAGAGCCCATGACAGATAAACGAGGATGATGCAGTTCAAACTAGAGATGACTTGTTTGTACACACGTGACCACACATTTTCCAGCTGGGAGGTGTTGTACTGCAGTGGAGTTTCCACTGCAAACATCCACATGTTCTCTTCTTTATCCGTCCTGAAGTCTCTGAGAGTTATTGATTCTGAAGGAAAATCCGTAGAGATATTTTGTCTCTTTCTTTTTTTGATTGGCTGTTGAAATATACATAATCCTGATAAAAGCTCTGTCTGTTCACACTTTCATTATTTCTACAACAGAGACAGACCAAGGAATGATACCACAGCTGAGTTAGAGCTTCAGTTGAGATTTCATCTCTCATAGTTCATATCACAGCTAGGTCTGGGGTGCGGATCTCTGGTGATACTTTGGCTTAAGATGAAAGCAGATTTGTGAAACTCATCTCTTTAAAGCTTGATGTGACAGGAAATTGATATGACACAAACCTTGCAATATTCCTGCTGCTATTTAGGGTTGAAACATCCTAAGAAAGGCTTGTTTGATTTAAATAGAGTTGATTTCATACGTATTACAACCATGAAGTAACTCCTGGGTCTAAAATACTAATTATGTTTGTTATTTTATAATGATACTTAAATTATTCTAACCTACACCATGTTGGCTAGAGTATTACTAAGGAGGGCATCTGGAGATCTATGGTAAATCATAGATTTCCCCACTACTTCTGAAGAAGGGAATCAGTACTGTGGGGATGCAGCAGATAAAGCTGAAGACTTTCTCGTTGGTAGATTAACTTAGTGATTCATGTTAGCTGCCTTCTCTGGCATGTCCCATCTAAATCATTTAGTTTCCCCTGCTGTCTTTTACACTTATTACCACGTCTGCATATGTCCCATTCTTAGTATTTAATAACTTTTTAAAAAAAGTTATTACTCCTGTAACTTTTCTCTAAAAAACCTTTTTCTCTTTCTCTGATTCTGCTGCATTTCTTCTGTATTTTTCTTTGTCTTCTTGGATTTCTCAGCTTCTTTTGGACTGAATTCTTTTGGGATTCTCCCTCATGGGGAGCTCTGCTTATCTCACTTTTTATGATTTGAAGAAAACACCAAGCTTGTTAGAATCTTGTTTCTCGTGTTTATTAGAAGGTCATTACAAAACTTGACAGGTCTCTTCAGACTGACTGCACAAGTCCAGATCATTGCAATCTGGTACATTTCTTTCTTCTGATGGTACAAGGTCTTGTGGCTCACTTCGTGTCTGATGCAGAAAATGGCACTGAACTATGCAGTTCTTTTATCTTTATACCTATTTTTACCCAATTAACAATAGACACGTATATTATTTTTCTTAATGACTTAATGACTCTTCACCTATGTGCTGCACTGAGGCATTCTCTGTCCAGTCACTTACTATTACCTAAAAACTTCTAGGAGAAGGACATGAAGAAGAAAGACAAGAGAGAACACCCTAAATCTTCCATCTTGTCTCCTGTTCTTTAAACTAACTTTTTCACCCAGTGATTTAAGAAAACTTTCTAATTTACACACACTTTTAGCTTTTTCTATCTAACTTTAACAGTTGTTTTCATGTATCACCATGAAAACATGCTCATGAATGTCATATTATATGAAATTCAGTGTTTTTCTGGATCTTAAAACTAAGTATCAGAAAGAATGGCACACACCTCTGTATCCCAGACTCCAACAACTTCCTCTTCCTGTTAAGGCAGGATGAGGTCTCTGAAGTTTTATTGCGCCCAAATGGTGTAGCTAATCTGTGAGAACTAGGAAAGTCCCCCCCTACACAAAAATACTGCTAATATTTAATTTCTTAACAAGTTTATTTTCACTCATATGAAACTCTATAGGAATAAAATTCTTGCTAGTGTATGCCTCTGTAAAAAGATACAGATAATGAGTTGCAGATATTGAGGGAAAAAAGAAGACAGAAGAGATAATGGTAATCGTAACTGCAGTGAGAATTTTATAGGTATTTAAGTGTCTCTGTCCCTTTCATCTGACAGTTATTTACAAATGCAAAAAGCTGCTTGGCAATATTTTCAAGGCATTGGAAAAAGAATATTCCCTCAGCAGCCAAAGGTAGTGTTTTTTCAGATTGCATTCCTTGAGAAATGGATATTTTAAAAGCAGTAGACACATTTGAGAATATTTAGGAATAATTTCTGCATTGCCTTTTCACAGTATGTAATTTGTAATGTAATGTATTCAAAATATGTTTGTGTAATGAGGATTTTCCCTTAAAATATGGAATTGACTGTTAGCTGTTTTGTCTCATTGTGTAGGTAAGGAAAAACACAGGAATGTCGACAGGAGATCAGGATACAGCTGTCTAATTTTTAGCAGTTCTGTGTACCTTAGTCATCATGCACTATTGAATGTTATCACTAAAGGGTCTTATTGACATTTCTTCAGTAAATAACAAACTGTTTTAATTTGTGAAAAAAACCCCAAAAAATAATTAATGTATAAATGAAAGAAAAACAGATATTGTTTCTGAGCAGGAGTGATTTTTCTTAGTTTACTCTTCTGTCATGCATATATATAATTTCTTTTTCCAACAATACTTTCCTCTGAATGTGCTTATTTTGCTTTTCTTCGTCTGTTTTTTTAAGTCCAAATAAAAATAGTGTGACCAGGCTTTTCACCTTATACTTCTGAATTTTATATGTTAGAGAGTTTGGTGCCTTTCCACCCACCCAGAAGTCTGAATTTGTTTGCCTTTTGTCTTTAACTCCTAATGTCATTTATGCTGTATACATTTATGTTTTGAAAAATTATATACTGCCTCAATAATTCAGCAATTTGATGCACTTGATTAGCTTGCTGATCACAAATTCCAGTGCATGGATAGTCTACTTCTGAATTGCTTAAAACAAATTCACTACAACTTGTCTTGAAATCTGATTATATCAGTTTTTGAAATGGTCTCATACCAGTTGACAACACAGCTAGAGTTTGCAAATGTTTTGGTACTGAAATGCATTTTACATGCATTGAATCATATGTCTGGAAGCATTATCCTTTTAGTAAGTGGGAAACTTATGGATAAACCTGAACAATCCTGGAATGACAGTGTTTAGCAGGGAAATCAGAGCCTGCAGCAGCCTTTGGAAGTCTGCATGGGGAACAGAAATTTGTTGCAGTGGGATGGCATTTTGTCATAATTTGCACTATCCAGCCTGCATCTGAATGGTGAGTGGACTCAAGAGATGATGCAAGACATTTTGAATTGGTTGCTTGCCCAGAGGTATGTTCCCTTCTCCAAAGACTTGCTGTTCATTATGGTTATCTTGGTCCATCTTGCAGTCCTGAAGGAGTGGTGCAGGTGTTTGAAGGTGCCTCAGCAATGAGGACCATATTTTCTGTGCTTGCCTCCAGGTGCTCATGTGTACATGTAAGACAGACCATGTGATGCTGGCCTTTGTTTAGACAATCAGCATCTTCTGCATTAGTGGAAAAGTAGCATGGTTATTAATACCTTTCATATTTAAAAAGGTCTTATATGTAGCACTGAGAGAAAGCAGGATCATGCCTTGTGCCAGAACAGTTTTTTAGTTTTCTTTCTCAATCTTGCAAGCCTCAGAATGTTGCTGAAGGTGGCATCATGATTAATGTATCACTATTACAGAGCAGCCAGCCAGCCAGCTTATGACATATTTTTGCTTCAGTCAAGAAAAATAACAAAATAATAATAAAAAGTTATTCTCTGTGTTTCTGGAACTCACTGACAGATTATTAACTAGATGAACTCCAAGTACATGAAAAAATTAAGAGCCAAATATTTGAAAGCTGTATTGTCTTGCCAGTGCCTTGTTGCTCATGAAGTACTTTGATGGTGTCTAGCCATCATCAGGGATATCTGGTAATATTATCCCCTTGCAAGGTCAGGTTCTAAAATGGATTCATTCTGAGTTATCTGTACGGCTATTTCAGAAGTCTGTGTGTGTTACATAAATTCAGCATGCTGGGTAAAAGTCTGTTCTGGTGTGCAACAATGTATCATCATTTTAAAATGAGCACTAAAAATCCGAGCTTGTTATTAGTTTTGCATGCAAAATAATTTATGTTATATCCTATGCAATGCAGATATGGTCATGGCAATACAATGATATTTGCTGCTGTATGCCCACATAGTTTTCAAAACTAAAATTCAATGCTTAGCTAAATTGCTAAGCAGACTGGTAAATGTCCAATTTTAGCAGCCTAACATATGTTTATAATTTTTGTTTTAACATATGCTATGTTGGTTGAACTCCCCTCCCCACACATACGGTAGATAAAAGCTGTCACATCACAAAATGGTGGCAGCCCAACTTTTCTAACATTTTCCATGGCACTTCAGAGTCTTGCATTAATTAGCTATTCTTGGATAGGAGACAGACTCTCATCTTTGTAGAATTTTGGTTTCAAACCCGTCATGTACTCGGATTTATGTATGCAGTAGCCCATCTGTGTTTCTGCAGCCATAAGCTGTAAAAAGCAGAGGGCAGAGAGAAAAGCGGTCAGCAGGAGTGAGGGTGCCCTTGGCTCACAGATGGAAATACTGACCAAATGGCCCCAAAAGTTGGCCTGTTTGGGCTCTAGTTTTCTCTAACAGGAACATTCTCCCTCTTCCACTTTTACAGAAGAGGGGAGTGAATAGAGCAAGGTTGGTGCACAGCACTGTTTCTTTTCATTGTGAGCTGCTAAACTACCCCTCTTTTCTCCTCCTGTTTCAAAGCAGGTGTAAGGAGGAATTTCACTCAGTCTACAATTCTTTCCAAACCTCAGCTGTGTAGTGGAGAATTGTGACAAATACCACTGCAGCTGTGATAATGCTGTCTTAATCCTTGCTGCACTACGACATGGAAACTTGGATTTAGACATGAAAGGACATTCCTTAACAGTACAGCAGTATGATCCCTTATCAAATCAAACTGCCTGTTGCATGTGCTCCAAAACCATGGTATCTTTTGTCTGATGTATTCTGTCTGCTGTTTCCCTGTTGTCAGGCTTCTGACTGTGGTGTACTTCAGCATGTGTAAAATCTGCTGGGCTGCATGGGGAATAGTTGGTTTTCCATGGGGGAAGAAGGAGCCTTTCCCATCAATTGAAACTGCTGTAGAAACGTCACAGGGTCTGTGGTACAGGACTGATGTTGGCAAGTGCGGTCGTATCGGCGCCTGGTCTGTGCAGAGCACAGACAGGGTTGTTCTTAAGCCTTCACCCCTGGCTGGCATGGATGCCACCTCCTGCCCTCTGATCTGCCTTGGAGCTGCTCAAAAGCTCATGTCTAGATGCAAGCATAGTTCCAAGCGTCTTGGCACAACATAATGTATGATGTCATTCCTATCTGAGACTAAAGTTGTAGTAGACATCTCAATATGGAGACTGAGGTGCAGCAACCTGAGGTGCAGCAGCCTGAGCCCATAGAGCTTCAGGAGAGCTGCTGACGTCCCCTGGAATGTGCCAGTGGTGGTGTCTGGCTGAGGACATGTGTAGTAGGTGGTGTTGGGCCTGGTGCTTGCATGTCCACCTGCAGAGCTTTGAGAACCCCCATGGAGAGCTGCCAGCAGAACAGCCTGCTTCCAAAGCCCTGTGTCTGCATCCGGAGCCGGCTGCGTGCCACAGCCACTGTGGAACCCAGAGTGCAGGACTCGCTGGTGATGCTGGTGGTGGGATTTGTCATCTTTGGATCGTAGATGCCGGTGGTGCTTGTTCAATGTCTATTTCCCGTTTGTGTATTTGTTTTCAGCTACAGGACCTGCAGCTGCTGTTTGGCTCACGATTCTTGTTAGCTGGCTGGCAGGCCTTGCTGTGGGATTCAGGTTTTTTCAGTGTGCACAGAAAGCAGTTTTGTTTCCCTGCCAAATGAAAAGCATGGTGGAAATAAAGGAGGAAAATGATAAACTGATTTTCCAGACACTTAGATAAACACAGACAGAAATAAATAGATATAAATGCATAAATGTCTGTTTATTATAAGTGAACATAAGTAATTAGTGTATTCTTAACACCAGGTATTTATTGGTAGAGGAAAGATAAAGAGATGTCTTTATTTTCCAGTGTTGCTCTCTGCCTTGGTAAACATTACTTTGGTTTCAAGATTTTGTGTACAGTCTACACAGTGTAAACATATTTTACTTTCTTTCTTCTCTGTGGTTTCTCTACCCAAATGTAACTTATCACCAGTTGAGTTGAACTAAGTCCAATACCATTTTTGTGTAACGATTCTCAAAGAGAAGTACGTGATTCTGTGGTGAGAGAGAGAAGCAGCAGAGTGTTGGTGAAAGACTTCAGTGTTTCTGGAGCTTTGTATGATACCATGTTAGGGACACATTTAGTGCTTGCTTGCTGTTGTTTGCAGTTCTTGGACATTGAATAACTCATAAAAAAACCCTATAACTCTTCTTACTGCGCAGATTACTTACTGCTCAGATTTTGCTTTGGATTAAAATAATAATGCAGGTAATAATGCTCTTCAACTATTTAAGACACAGGCATAATATTAGGATGAAAACTCTGATACAAGTTCATCTGTAGGTTTTTGTCCTGTACAAGTTTTTAAGGAGTATATATCACTTGCTCAGAAAAAATATTATTTTATTACAAATAATGAAATCAGTTATGCCCTTCAAGATCTATATACTAGAGTCTCCCTTAAAAATAATGAGTCTTAAACAAACAAATGGGAATGCTCCCCCAATACTCGTGGTGTATGTTCTTATTTCTTTTTCCATAAATTTATGATCATCAAAACTGTTTATGTGGAAGTTAAGCTTCTCATATGGTTGTCTGATTCTCAGAGGAATGATATTCAAGAAAGCAGCCAACATCACAAGAATCATGATAAAGTTATGAGAGTTTTTTGGTACATTACAGTTATGTGTAAGTTTTGAATTGAAGTTTTTAGAAAAATAAATGTATGGGCAGATGGTGATATTTACTTAAGGGAAGCTGAATTCATTATCTGACTAGGACTGGGTATTTCAAGCAGCTGTTTGAAAATGAGAACTCACTTTCCATGAAGGAGAACGTATGTTTCAGGAAAATAGAGTCCCTGTTCAGAATGTAAGACTGTCCCTTGCTTAGCCTCTATCAGAGTGGTTTCTGGTGTGTGTATGAATTCATTTATTGAAGAACATTCTCAGTAATGATCAAGAGCTAATTTGGTGAAATAGTTTTGTAAACTCCTTGCTGCTCCCCTGCCAAAGGCAGTCATTCTTAAAAGTTTCAAAACTAGATAAAATTTGTAGCTGTTCTTTATTTCTAAAGATATTCTACAAGAAAAAAATATTAAACCTAATATTCAATCTTACACTTCCCCACCAGGTTTAATTTCTGTCTACCCAACTTGCCTGTATTTTGATTTATTGAGATACAATTACTTGAGGAAATTGACCTATGGAAAACTTCTAGGTATAAGCCAGAAGAAAGCAAGCCAAATGTGACCATACACTTTACCTTTTGCAGATTTGTTTTTTTCTGGAACTCTCTATTCTAGTATGCATGTTCTATTTGCATACATATTTTTGAAGCACGAGAGTATGAAAAATATTCTCACCTTGTTTATTTTGTTACTTACACTTCTTTTCCTTATGTTCCTGTGGAAAGCTAGACAGATACTGTAATCCTAAAGATTGAATGGTATCCCTTGAAGACTGTGGTGCATTTGTTATTGCTTATGTCCTTCTTTCCCCCAGCTCTTTAAGATGACTTTCACAGAAAATTCTTTCACTCAGAAAACCTGTAGCCCTGTAGTTTTTGGTTCACAGAAAAATACAAGCCAGTTTGTTTGTAGTAGATGCCTTTCCCTGGTCACTTAACTTCTAATGCCTCTGTTTTCCCATTTCATAATAAGCAAATTTTAATACTTAATTATTTTAGTGTAATCTTTGCTAATATTTCTGAAGCCAAACTATAGATTTTCAGATATTTTTTCATCTCAGAATGGGCTTATGTATATGGAGTGACTGAAAGGTTCATCACTCTCAAATCTCTTTGGTTTTGGAATTATCTTTGAACTCTACAGAGAATGCAGCTGTGTACACATGAAGCACAAAGCCCGTCTGTGAACAGGGAGGATGTGTAAAGATGGCCCTTTGATGGGAAATGAGTTCTTCACTTCAGACTACTTGAAGAATCTCATCACTTTGCTTACTTGGTATCTGACAAGCCTGCCTCCCCTGTACAGCAGTGGAAGCTGTGGAAATAACCATCCTGGGGAACATATGGAAAAAGGAGTTTTGTGCTCACTGCAGAATCCTAACACTGGTTCTGACTATATGGAGCCTTTATTGTGAATCTTGTGCAACACTCATATTTGAATTTAATAAGCTGTTTATATATAAATATATGACTTGTCTGGCCATCTGTTTTTTCACAGTGGTTCAGTAGTTTGAAAAGTTAAACTGGTTTTGTCTGGCATTAAGTAAGAGTTAGTGATATTGCACAGTGTGTGCCACATGCATCAGGTAGATGTGGAACATGTTCTGCAGCTTCTGCTAATGGGAGAGATGATATAGCAGTAAGTTAATTGCTTATTATAAGCAAGTTCTGGCTGCTGAAGGGCACTGTTAAATTTCCAAGTTTCTCTTAAGTACTATTTGGTTATTGCTGCATGTTTTAATTAGATGAAAAATGTTGTTCCACAAAAGGCCTGATATTTATTCATCTTTAAAGAGCATCATCTGGAATGGGGTTCAGGCTAGGTCTAGAGTCATTAATACTGGTACAGCCATGCAGAAGCCTGATAACTGAATAAAATATCCTAGCTGAAATTTGACCACAAAGGTATTTTCTGTCCTCTGAAGTCAGAAGAGTGGTTTATAATGGGAAATTTGTCATACTAATCAAGCAGACATTTGGATTTATTTATCCCTAAGATAATAGTAATTCCTGCAGCAATATTGCAGATCCTAACTTAAATATTTTAAATTCCTTTTCTTTCTCTAGATCATAAAAAAGTTTACAATGGCAATGCTCTGGAAATTCATGAGAGTAGCTAAGTACTCTAAAACAGCTTTATCACCAAAAGTAAAGGTAAGAGGAATTCCCACCCATTCAAGGCATTCTTCATCCAAGTCTGCACCTTCAGATTTTGCTGCCAGTGCACCCTGCTCAAATACTGTGGAACTGCTTGGTAAATCTTATCCTCAAGATGACTACAGCAATGTCACAGAGAAGATTCTTTCCAAGGTGGGGAAGAACTTGCACAACAGAAAGCATCACCCTTTGTGGCTAATCAAGGAGCAGGTGAAGGAGCACTTCTACAAACACTATCTAGGACGCCGTGGGACTCCGCTCTTTTCTGTGTATGACGGTCTTTCTCCAGTGGTTACAGTCCAGCAGAATTTTGATAGTTTACTTATTCCACAAAACCATGCCAGCAGAAGGAAAGAGGATAACTATTACTTGAATCGTGACCACATGCTAAGAGCTCATACATCGGCTCATCAGTGGGACTTGATACACTCCGGCCTAGACGCCTTTCTGGCAGTGGGAGATGTCTACCGCCGAGACACGATTGATAACACCCACTACCCAGTCTTCCATCAGATGGAGGGAGTGCGCCTCTTCTCCTGCCACGAGGTATGAATTCTCTAGTTGGGGTGAAGGACATTTTGGGTAAGTTGCTTGGTCTTGCATTTGCTGCAAGCAGACTTCATTCACATACAGAAGGTTCATGCATGTAAGCATGTTACAGCAACAATGTTATGCTGCACATTGATAAAGATCAAGTGGTTTATCATATAGGAGTATTTTTAATTTGCAAAACACATGTAGATGGAAAGTGTTGAGTTTGAAAACAACTATAAAATTCCCTAGGAAAGTGTGGAAAAAATGGAAAGACAATATTATTGAAAATAGCAAAGTGCAACATAATCTGAAATGAAACAACTTGTTCAGTTAATGATCAGTTGCACAACTCAATTCTATTTCTGTCACAACTCTCTTCTGGTGAGATCACTTTACCAAAAACTCTATCAGATTATTTCTTGAAGGACCCATTGGTTGCAGCTACTTCCAAAGTACAGTTTTCACCGTCATCTTTTCTTTTTCTTTTAATAGTGCCAACCTTCTGTAAATTAATGCCATTTTCTAGGGAATTGTTGCATTCTTCATCTCATCCTAAAGCTGCATTGAGGGATTCATCTGTTGCAGCGAATAGTTGTGTGTGTTATATGCATGCATACACAGTAAACCCATCAGAGCTCCAGAGGCATTAGCTAAAGAGCTCTAGGTTGATGTCCAAGACTCTTAAGCTTATATGTTTTGTTGGCACAGCTTGCATGTTCTGCAAATGCCTGGGTGTCATTAAGTACTCTGCTGCATCATTGATCAGTGGTAAATATAAGCCAGTTTGTTTTCCAAATAGTAATTGATTTGTATAATTTGTGTATGCTTGTAGCAGTACTGCCAAATTCACAGTTCTATAACTAAAACTAGCTTATTCTAATAATACTGAGATGTAGACCGTTCTTAATGTGCTTGCCAACGGGTGACAGGAGCTTGGCAGAGAAGCCTGATGTCTTTGGATGCCTGAGGGAAAACTAAGGTAATCATAGAGCACTGCTTTTCTCCATGATGGAAGGGGCTCATGCCGCCTGTGCTGCACTTTCCTACCCTGTGTGGCCGGTGCTTGTTCCACTGCGAGCACACACCTGCCTCTGCAGGTGTCCTGAGAGCTGTGAGGTGTTGAATCCAGCCTGCTGCTGCTTCTTTGGTTGCCACAAAATGGAAATATTGGGGACTTAGCCAGCCTCATTGTTTACTGTTCTTTTCGCATAGGCCTATTTATTAATACAATCAGGGTATATGGTATACAAAACTATGTTAAGAAAATACCATTTCTGAACTGTTTTTCTTCATCACAACTTTTTTTTTTTTTTTTTTTTTTTTTACTTCAGTCATTTGGATGGAAATATTTTATCTGCCACAAAATTATAACATCAATGTTCTTGCATGGTGAAATTTCTGCAATGTCGGGTGTGATTGATCTAATAATTGAAATACTTGTTAATGAATATACCCTTAAAGAAACATTGGTCCTAATGATAGACTCTTTCTTTCTAGCCTACAAATTTAATAATAGGAATTACAGGATTTGAATAACTGGGAACAGAGTTACAGGAATGTTTTCACTGGCATGTTCCATCTAGAAATATACAATTCTTAGCAATCTAATTCATTGCATTGGAGATTGTTTTTTTCTTCTTTATTTTTCCCCAAGAAAATAATTGAGATGTTATTGGAGAGCTTTCTATACCGATGAAGAAAGAATAGTGGTGTGGTGTACAATGTATAAAGTGTTGTTTATTGGACAATATGCAAAAATTATAAACCTGAGCATGATCTGATGCATCCTTTTTTGCTTCAGTTCATGTTTCAATATATATCGCTTTTTACAGTCATAATCACAAGAGCCTTGTGGAAAAAATGAATGTGTAGTTCTGAAATTTCACTGGGGACTGTTTCTGTGTTTTGTATTCTGGTTGCCTGTTCAGCATAATCCACATTTAAATAATTCCAGAAGGAACTGTCTGAGTGGAACAAAGTCTAAATAGAGGTAATACTACATGAGAGAAATACTCTGATATTCATTTATTTATATTCAAGTTTAAGCTGTAACCCACTGAGCAGAAACGTGTGACTGTCAGGGCCTGTTACTCTTGTCTCAGACTTTTCCTTCCTACCCAGGCTTCAGTCTCTGGTGAGAGGAAATTTGCACAAGTTCCAAGGATCAGAACCTTTGAAACCAAGGGAAAAACTATTAGCTCTTAGTTACAAGCCCTGAGTACATTTAATTTTATGGCAAATACAATAATTTTACATGCTGTTGTCACTTTGCTGCTCTAATTTGTTCTTTAGGTTTTTACATTATTCATTCACTGTCTTCTCAGTGTAAGTGACCACAAACCTAAGATGTAAGAACAAAAGCAAAAGCTTAGAGTGATTTTGTAAGAACTTGAATTTGGAGGAATTTGATGTTTGATCTCAGTTTAGGAGGTGTGGGGGAAAAGTCAGTTTATCCTCAGCTGAAATTTTAGGTGGGATACAAAAGATGAAGATGTAGAAGAGCATGTCTCCTTTACAAATGCCAAATTCCGTAGTCATGACTAGGTTAAAACTCCTGCCTCGTGATGGAAACCTTCAGCATAATTCTTTATATCAAAGTTAAAATCAGTACATTCAAGTAAGATCTGGAAAAACAAACCAAGTTTGGCAATTTTACAGTATTTATTCTGAGATAATTGTAAGCTATTTGCTTTTTTGGCTATATGTTTTTTTTGTGATGGTTGGTTGATTACTTTTTAGAGGGAAGTAATCTATAAATCAAAGATGGGCAGGTAACTGATCCATTTCTGCAGCTTTGATTGAGTGTAAATACTGAGGTACTAAAGAAATTCTCAAACTAACTCATTGGTAAAAGTCAGAATAATTTGTGCTTAAATTTCTCATAAACTTTTCAAAAATGTCCCTGGACTGCTATCAAAGAACATCTGAAAATACACTTAGACATGTTTTCAATATATTTAAAAGTATCTTAGGTGATTATTATCTGAGTGTAATATGTAGAACTGTTAGCAATTGACTAGTATAAATAGTTAAAACCAGAAACAAAAAGAGTTTCCCAAACCTACTTCCAGATTGTGAACATAAAATGAACTGCTCTTCTTAAACAGTACCCCCAAATGATATCCTTTTCTATTCACTTCCTACTGCATTCCTGTTTTTCTTCCAATTGATGTTTGAATTTTTTTCTTTCCTTCTATGGTGTATGGCTTTTTTTCTTTTGATTCGTGCTTTGGATTGGCAGTTTTTGATACTGCTGTAGTCAGATTTGAACTGGCCAGTTTTCCTGGGTGGATTGTAAGAGAAATTATTTCCATGCTATGTGGTTGCCTTTGGTGCAGTTCCATAATTTATGGAAAAGAGAAAAAAAATCTCAACTCAATTGCACTTTGTGCATGTCAGCCAGAAGAGGGAGCCAGTATAAACCCAATGGCAGCTTTCAGTTGATAACAAAAAAACATTTGAAGGAGACTTCATACAGTGTTTTATAGTCTGTACTGAATTATACATAAATTTTAAGGGGAACTGACGCTAAAACATATGAATTGCTCCTCTAATATAGTAACCTTGTTCTAGTGGAGGCCAATACAAGATTGTTTAGATGAAAAAATAATGCTCTCATCAGGCTTGTTTGTGCTACAAGTAGTAGGGATACATCTTTATTTTCCATGGAAATGCTTATGGTAGAAATGGAAACTTTTTTGTTAGGATGCAGTAGAAAAAGGGTAATGATTCTAGTTACGAATAAAGGATTGTTCCTCCAAAGCACTATTTATAATTTAAAAAATAAGTCAATATTGTAGCGTCTAGTGTTTATATCCTGAAATGTAAAGATTCTTGTTCTAGGTAACAGAAGATTAGTAGGTTTTTCTCTTTTTCATCTAAATACACACTCCTTTCCTCATCCTCCTATACTTGTGTACGTTGGCAATATTCCTGGTGTATTGTTAAAAAAGAAAAAGATGTTGCTTTTATCCTTTTCCTTGTGGTTTGGGATGATCTGAATTCCTGATTGACCACTCATCTGCAGTTTTGGGGTTTTTTTGAAACAAGTGCCATGCTGGTTTTCCCCTTGGAAAACTGGCAGCTTCAGGTTTGACTTCTCCAAAATCCTATATGTTACTGCTTTTGCTCTGACGTTGTATCAAAGAAAAGCTCCTTCCTGTCTTCAGTCCCTTTTTTAAAAAATTCTCATATGTAAAGGAATTTAAATCAATTTATAGTGTTTCAGGGATCAACCTATTTTATTGGGTGATTTGGAGCTTTTACAGTATGTCTGAGAGTGTTTGGGAGTGGGAGTGGGAGTCATAATAGCATTGCTTAGCTGGGCACCAGGGAGCAAATATTTTAAAAGACTTAAATGACCAAGGAGAGGTACCCTTCTTAGAAATTAGGGATGGGATTGTGAGCAAAGCATCGGTCCCAAGGAGCCTGAGAGAGAGCTCTCCTTCTCACAGGGAGCAGCGAGGGTGGTAAAGGAGCAGAGACACCTGAACTAGAAACACCTTGGTAACAAAAAGGAGCAGCAGCATTACTTTGCTAGAATATTCTGAGGTGAATTTATTCCTGAAGCTGCAGTTGAACTTAGTGGTCGCAATGAAGAGCCTGGCTAGTTTAGATGGAACTGATTTCACTTTCTCCAGTTTTAATTCAAATTGTGAACATTGTATTATTCAGTTTTCCAAATTGTGGCATATAAATCATGCTGTAATAAATAGATCTTCACTGATCTGAGGATCCAAATTGTATTCTTTGTTGTTTTTAGTCAAAAATTTGACAGTGAAGGGCATCTGAAGGTCTGTTAGATTCTCATAGTGATCCATTGTGTAGAAACTTTGAAAACTGATGGTGCATCTTTTACTGCAAAGGCTTTATATTTTTTTTTTCAGACTTTGTCTTACTTTTTGTTGTCCAGCTAAAAATACCCAAACAAACCGACAAAGCTTTTCAGAGTGAAGTAGTTAAATCTATTCAATGCAATATTTAAATTGTGCAGGAAGGAAAAAAAAGAGCAAAGTGTCCACAAGTGTATTTGGGAAGTCTAAGGTACTTAAAAGTAAAGGTATTTCTACTGCTACAGAAACAGAAGTCTATCACAGGTGTCTCATTATACCAGCTATCTATGTAGCAGTGTTACTTTTTCTTTCTATTTTGAAAACATCTTTATAGTTTTCCATTTTCTTACAGAAGCATTTTGATTAAGTTAAAAAAAACCCAAAAAAACCACAGTGGTCCAGCCCCAAAAAACAACAGAGATTACCTTTCTTTGCTGTAATTGGAGAACTGGAATGGTAGGATGTAGGGTGACCACCTTCAAGCTTGTTGGTTAAAGTAATTTTTTGCCATTTTCTGCTCCCAAAAATCCTTATTGATATGCAGTGAAGAGCCTTCTGTCATGTGGATCATAGGCTGTGTATCTCTTTGGTACCTGAAGCTGGCTGCATCCGGGTGTATGCTTACACCTTAGAGCCTCACTGAGACTGAAATTAGATTTTCTCTTGGAGTCATCTATTGGTGGCGTCATCTTCATCATTCCCAGTCCTTTGGTTGAATCTAGAGTTTTCCATAGCACATTTGAAATGTTATGGGAAGGCTTTGCTATTTTTAAGTGGATTCAGATTGCAGCTGTTGGTTCATTTCTAGAGATATTTATTAGGGCCAGTGAGACAAAATGTATTTGGTGTAGCAAGGTTGGGTATAGTCACATGCAGATCCTTATATAGAGATAATCTTAAATGCTGGTTTCCCTTTGAGTGTAAGAACATGAGCATGATTTATTCATTATCTTAATCGCTGGTGTATGCATGAGTGGCAGGAGGAATACACAACTGCATTGTGGAAAGACAGGATACAGTTACAGATCTCTCTGGTCTGAAACCTACTGTGAATGCCATCCTGCAAAGAGGCACTTAATTTTGCATACTAAACGTATGCATTCTGAAGGGATGTGAGACTAAAAAATCTGTCAAGTGACTGAGGAAGTTTTGGGGTCTTTGTTTAAATCACAAATGTGACTTCTGCCCTTCATGCCAGGCTGAGAAGTACTGGAATGTGCTTTTGAAGGACTATAGCTCCATTTGTACATGTCCAGTTAAAACTCTATGTCTTCTTGCCATTACATGTTGTCAAATTTCAATTTATTTTTGTTATGAGCTAAACTGTGAGTAAACATCATGTCACATGGTTAGGTCACTTCAATTCCCTTCTGCTTTCTCCTTTGTAATGCAGCATCAGTCAGATACGATGATAAATTCTGGTAAGTGTTAATTTTTCTGACTCTTCATGGTGATACAATATTCAATGTTTTGCACACCTTCACTCAAAGAAAAATCTTCTTGTCCTTACACTAGACAGACACATAGGTACTTGATTTATGGCTACAGGAAATTTCTTTCCTCCTTATAGTAGTGACTGATTGTATTCAATACAATAAGATAGTGCATGCTGTTTTAGTCTGCTCTGAAGGAATGAATGTAAGTAAAAATGTCGTCTTGGATGTGTCAGCATTTTGTGCAAGGCGTTAGGTAATTTTTTTCTCCATTTGCTCAGATCTGTGCTTGAGAAAAATTGACATCAAAAAGGAGCGACTGTCGGTGATTCTTCATTTTATTCAAGCTTTGACTTTCCTGGCTTTATGTATACAGAAATGTTGAAGTGTTTCTAATCCAAGACATGTACTTAGCAGTTCAATCGTTGTAATAGTGAAATTGGTGTATCAGTTTAGAGCTGCTCATATTGACATAGCAATGTCAGTGAATGGAAAGTCAGGAATAAATATTAATACAGCTGTAAGGTATCTCTTTTATTTTCTCAGTATAATCCCATCTGCAGCTGATGGAGCATCTATGGAGAATCCAAAGTACCTCTTGATGCCTGACTGTGAAGGGGGGCTGTTGTCTTGCCTATTCCAGGGACTTCCCTATGGCTGTGTTTTCATAGCCTGTCTGAACTGGACTAGAGTCACACCTGTGCCCAAAGTGACCCAGCCCTGTTCCATGTGCCAGCTCATCTCTTGATGCTGCTAGCACGCTAATATTTGATTACTAAGCTGAATTTGACTTGAATTTGAGGGATGTTTTCACATTCCTCAGTTTTTTCCCTTCTCCTGGGTTACTGCCCATCCAGCGCAGTACACTACTGCGTGGACACTTGTCCTGGCTTGGAGAAGGAGATGGTGCATATGTCTGGTTTAGGATTAGGGCTCAGGCAGGTGACAGGGCTGGATTATGATTCAGTGTCTTTAATGGTTCTTGAATGTATTTTGTTTCCACATCTGATATAAACCATTGAAATAGAATTTTGCTTAAGACTGTCATTGTGATACCAACATTTCAGAAATAATACAACAGTAAGGAAAAGTATTTCTATGTACTTTTCGATACATCAGTGTCTTAAAGGCTAGTGTCCAGACTGTCTGTTCTTTGCAGAGGTCTGAGGAGTCAGTCCTAAGCTGAAGGGAGGAGTGAAAGGGAAAAGGAGGAAGAGAGTTTCATATCCTAAAATGCTGCTTATAGGTAAATAACATACATACCTTCTAATGTGAAAATACAGTGTTCTGGTCCAAAGAGGGAACACCTCTGTTGCCTGAAGGTGTTTCAGGCTTAGTGAGTGAGTCAATCAGTCACTAGGAAAAATAGCTACCTGTGTAGGGTAGCTCAGAGCAGGAACCTAATTTAGCCACTCTGTGTTCCTCTGTGAGGGAGCGTGTGTCTATCCACTGGCTACCCGGTGAGTGAGTAAGACAATTATCCTCCCTAGGCTAATGCTGGCCTCTCTGAATTCCCCCTGGTTTTCAAAACCACGTGCTGGATGACCAGTCTGCCCTGCTGACAGCAAATGAGTTGTAGGGAGGGTATTATCTGCTTTTTCCAGTCAAGGTAGGAATGATGTTAGTAAGAAGAAAGGGGCTTAATCTTTCAGATGAGCACTTGAATAAAGAATCTGTTATTTAAAAGTGTGATACTTTGTCAAGCTGCTGCATTTTGGTTAGTGAAGGCATTTTTGTTAGACTGGTGGAGAATCATTTTGTTTGGTATTTATACTTTCCCTTTTTAATTTAGTATTTTCTGCAGTACACTTAGGAGCTCAACTGAAGTGTTTTCTCAATCTGCCAGCAATCTCCTTGTGGCTAGCAATAAAAAGTTAAATGCTACTGAATTTTTTTTTTTTTTTTTTGTATTCCTTCAATCCACTGTGGTGCTAGTTTGCCTGCTATCTAAACTCAGACTCTTCATTCATTGTGTCTGTAGGAAAAGTGCTAGAAACTAGTACTAATTAATTGTATCTAGCATTTGTGGACTACCAGAGAATTGAATTTTTTGTTTAGAGCATTTAGTGCTCTGAAGGTATCAAACTGCAGTTAAAACAACTTCTGTGGGCATCCATGAGTTGTTAAGGTTACACACTATTCGTGGCATCTCCTGAGTAAGAGCTAATTATGCTGGGAGGCTTAATGGGAAGAAAATCTCAGTGCATGTTTATTTCCCTCTGTGTGTGCTTGATTGACTAGGGGAAGGTAGAGGAGGAGATGTAGGAAAGGGCACTAGAAACAAACTAGAAACAAACACTTTCACAAGTGGCTCTGCCTACCCTCCAGACTTCACCCCAGATATGGGGGTTTTGTACAGCTGTAAGGATTTCCAACAAAATTACTCTTTAAAGTGTAAAACTGCCTGCTTGTCTCCTTAAGACACAAACACTCCAACAATGTTGTTTAATGAATGTGTTTTATTGGTCTCTCTGAGAAGATACAGATTTGCTGGTATGTATCTGGCCAGGATCACCTGGCCAGAAACATATGGGGATATGCAGAAAAAAGAACTCTTCGACTTGAAGCTGATGTGCAGTGTCTGAATGAAGAGCAAGTCTGCCACACCCCAAAAGAGCTGCCCTTGTGCTTCGTAACTTATCTCATGAATCCTTGAATGCCCCACACACAAAACTCCTGTTCACAAAAAGTATGTTCGGTGTGGGAATATACAGGAAGATGCTAGTCCTTAAATGAATATAAACTGTACACTGGATGAATCAACTGTAAGCATCTTAAGTCTCATTAAACTGCCAGGGTTTGTTTTGGGTGGTTTTTTTTTGTTGGTTAGTTTGGGGGGATTTTTTGGTTTATGTTTTCTGTTTGGGGTTGGTCTGGTTGGTTGGTTAGGTGTTTCATTGGGTTGTTTTGTTTCGATTTGTTTTTTTTTTTAAATTTGGTTTTTGTTTGGTTTTGTAAGTTTTATTGTTTTGTTTCTTCTTTATTGTTCTGGTATTTATTTTACATCATTCAGGTACTAAAAGAGTGGAAGTTCTGATAAATGCCATTGTGTTTTGCAATTTTTTGGGGTGTAATTTACATACGCTGTACAGATTATTTGTCCTACATGATAATTTTCAAAGTAACTGAGTCAGAAAATGAGAGATGCTTATTTTGTAAATTATTATTTTCCTGTAGCTAATCATATTATTTAAAGATATAGTACAGAAAGAAACCAGATTTAATTATTTGAGTATTTTTGTTCTTACGATGATTCATCTCTGCATTTAGTGAACAGAATTTGTGTAAAGTCACAGCCTTTATGTTTGTTTTTCACAGTTCAGACTTGGCAGGTAAGATTCCCACTTAAATCAATGAAACCTCATTCTTTATTTTCATTCACAGGAGGTCACTGATGCAAAACATGGTGTTTTTGTGGTTTTGTTCTAGCTGTTCTCCAGCATTAAAGATGGTGAAGGTTTACAGCTGTTTGAGCAAGGCCATCGCACTGCACACAAGCAGGAGTGTCACACCATGGAAGCAGTGAGGCTGGTGGAGTTCAACCTGAAGCAGGTGCTCACGAAGCTCATGACTCACATCTTTGGTGACGGTAGGTTCTTGCACCTTTTCCCCCAGATTGCTCATGGGTGTAGTCATTTGTCCTGTTGAGAAACATTTTGCTGTGTAACACAGACAGGAAGCTTAGGGGTTGTGTTGGCAGCTGGTAATACAGAAACAGCCAGGTGGGTTTTTCCAAGAGTCCGCACATTCCTCTGTGGGTTTTCCTAAATACTGGTGCACACAATGCTGTGCCAACTCAGCAGGTTTTTGTGACAATGTTTTGGTGTGCAGCATGTCAGAATAACGTAGTGGGCATGACTACAGTGGGAACATGTGGATGCCCAACTACAAGCCGTGGTCTGGCAGAGGCTGTGTGCTGAAGGGCTGCAGTGTGGGTCCTGCAAGGAGAGGCAGCTCCAGCTCCAGCACAGAGCTCTGCAGGACCCCCTCTGCTTCATCCTCATGGGCCTCCCGTGTCCCTGGAGGGATGGAGCATGGGGGCAGCATCGCATCTGGGGTGCATTAGAGCTTGGGTGCAGCTGGGCAGCGTTCAGATCCCGCACCAGCAGCATGGGATTGGGCAGGAGCAGGGAAAGGGTGCGAGTGTCCGTGTGCTGCTCCGCTGTGTGCACACACGAAGCGCCGTGAGCGGTTCCCTTGTGCACGTAAATTAAACCTTCCAGTTGAGGGCAGACCATGTTTGCTAAGTTCACATCAAGCTGAACAGTAATTGTTTTTTGGTACTTACAGTGGAATGAAGAAGGGTAATGAATGTGTATAGGAATGAAGTATTCTCTCCTTAGAAATACCTGCTTTCACTTTCAGGAGCTGAATTTATAAATGACCCGAGTCAAAATTGCTGCATTAATGCTATTTCCTGGCAAGGATGCTGCTCTTCTGAGTTGATTCATTTTTCTGTTGAGGAAATACTGGATGGTATTAGAATGCATGAGGTGTCTTTCTTACTTTCTAAGGTCTTTTAAGATGTCTACTTCACTTAGAGCAGTAGTTCCAAAAATGGATTGATAATGATACCAAGTTCTATATATGACTGCTTGAATATTTTTCTGAATTTCTAAAGTTGATTTATACCATGCAAAACTTTTACCAGTTATTGTTGTAAACCACCTGGACAAAAATTTTTAAGTTCCTCAGCTCAGAGTTTCTTGTAGGTGTATTTTACTTAATAGTGATCTTTTGAAACATACAAAATCAGGATGAAAGTGAATAACAGTAAGAATGATACATTTAGATCAACCTCAGATGCTGAGGATGTTTAAAGTGAGCAATTTCTTGGAGTTATTAGTGGTATCTCAGACTGCAGTGACATCCTTCTCTAACTGCTGACAGATGCTGCACTTTAAGCCTCAGCATGTTGGCTATTACTAGTTCTTATACAGTCCACACAGTAGCTAAAAAGACATTAAAATATATTCATAAATTATTTTAAACGTGCAAACTAAAAGTAGATGCCACCTTCTTACTGTTGGGATTTTCTATTTCTATACCCCCAATATTTTTCCTGGAATACAAACACATGATACAGTTATTGAACTAAATTTAATTATACATATGCATGTGTATATACATATGTGTATTTCCCCCCCTGCCTCATTCATGTAAGTACTGGAATTCAAAGCATTCAAGTTCATGTTAGGCACAAGGTATATGAGATTGGTGCACTGCAACTGTCTTGGGGCACACACAAATAAATTTGTATTTTGATAGCTGTCATCTTTCAGCTGGCATTTTACGTTTTACTTTACACAATGCTCTTGATTACTTTTTACATTTGTAAATTTTAACTTAAAATTGAAAATATGTTTAAATGTGTTGCTCTTGGAAAATTTTTATGTTTTTCCTATATGTGGATATTTCATAAGGCCCCATGTTCTGTTAAAAGAAAAAAATTCATTCCTTTGTACTTGACATCAGTTGTATTCTTTACAACCTGTGCTGTCAGCAGAATATAGTAGTGAAGTTGCACATCTTTTCTAGCAGGATAGCATGACCATAGCTGTAGTGAGTGACTGAAATGTTGCATTGTTGTACAGCCAACTGTTTTTTGTAGGCACATTTTTTGGATTGTAGATTAAGTCTGATGTACATGTTAGTTTTGCATAAACTAGATTGTACCTGAAGTCCTGGACTTGGAAGCTGTGCTTCTGCAGTGCTTCTCTGGGAATTTACTAGCTCAGGTTGATGATAGGTTAAGAATCTCTGCAGGATCTCTGCAGAAAGGTCGTATCACTGACTTCCCCTTTTTTTTCATTTTTTTATTTTTTTCATTGTTCTAGGTTAGTTTTCATAATATTTAATGAGACAATTGGGCTCTACCTGATTCCTACTACACTATTTGGACAATGCAGTGTTGACAAAACAAAGTTGCTGAAATAGGTGCTTAAATAGTTGCAAAGTTGCTGTGTTGTCCTGGGGAAGGTCAAAGAGTTCATAGAATCTGCACTTACCCTTATTACAAAAGTCATAGTTTTGTAATAAGTATTTTTTTGCTTTTTTCTTTTTATGTCTTTTTGGCCTTGCCAACAGCAAAGGAATGACAGATATCAGAGTAAGGATAAAGTTCTGGAACATCCAATCAGTTGTCTTAAAAACTTGACAGTGTAAAGTAGTTCTTTTTATGGCGTTTTCTTGTGGTATGACATGCCTGATTTTGCCTTCTACAAGTATATGTCTTTCAGTTTCTTTCCTTTTTTCTGTCTGGAAGCTATTTCAAATACTACACCTAGACATCACCTTTCTTAGTTTTCCTCTGTTACCTCCATAAGGTGCACACTTAAAATCCTCTAATTTAAGTTACACCTCCATCTCCCCATATAGTTCTGCCAGTGTAGGTAGTCTGTTAGTTCTTATTTTAGTTACCTAGAAACAAGGCTGTTCAAGATTTCCCCCTAAAGTTAGCCAGTCTTTCTCAACTATGGTTCTTTCTCTAACCCCTCTTTAGTCTGCCAAAAGCTTTCTGCACCCTGAGAGATTCAGAAGTAATCTTACTGTAGCAAATAGAAAATAATGACTGTGTGCTGGTTCTGTGATTTGTTGCTTTACATGAAATGGCTCAAAATTCACTGCTGTCCCTTATTTATCTACCCAGCTCCTAGGCACTGGTAAGGGAAAAGCAGGAGAGTGAGTAATGTTGTGCTTTGACTGATGGCTTTGCCACTGCTGGTTCTCACCGAACCACCACTGGATAGATATCTTTTAAATCAAACACGTTCTGCTCATTCTGCTTCTTAATCTGTGGTACTGATACCTTCTTTGAGTGCATGGAGATCTATGAGTGTAACAAGTTAAAAAAAAAAAAATCATTTATCAAGGACACAATGGTCTGGCTAATAACTTCTAAAAAATGTGAGCTAATGCAGGTTTATGTGGGCAGCCAGCTCCTGCCTGCTGGAAGTATGATGAAATATCTGAAACAATGAGGTGCAGAGTACTTACAAATTGACACACACCTTAAGAAGCCACAGTTCAATACCTTCTGTGCTTCCCAGCACCCTCCCTGCACCCCTCTCCTTTTTCTTCCACAGCCTCATCTCTAAAAATAATCCTCACAGCAACAAAGAGAATTTCTGGTCAGTGAAGACCATCTGGGTCTCAGGCTTTGTTGATTCTGTGCTGTAGTGTAGCAATAGGCTGCTTTAATGTGTTTGGCTTGTTCTTTTTTGCCTTTTCTTTCTTTTTCAGTGTCTTTGGTCAAGCATATTCCATTATGAGACTCAATTTGGCTGGCACTTGTTTAGCTTAATATTTGATAGCGCATTACTTTTGAGTGCAGTCTACGATCAATTCCTTACCTGGATTCAGTGTTCAGAAATAACAGTGATTATTCACTTATTTCCATACTGATCTGACATATAAGTTACTGTATTGGGTTTGCATGGCAAGGTTTTGATAGCAGGGAGATGGCAGGGGTGGCTTCTGTGAGAAGCTGCCAGATGTTTGCTCCATGTGTGACAGAGCCAGTGCCAGCCAGCTCCAAGATGGACCCACTGCTGGCCAAAGCTGAGCCCATCAGTGATGGTAGCACCTCTGGGACAACACACTTTAAAAGGGAGAAAAAAACATCCTGATAATTTGCAGCAAGGAGAGGAACAAGAAGATGTGTGAGAAACAGCCCTTCAGATACCTTTGTTGAGACACAAGGTCAGTGGAGAAGGAGGGAGAGGAAGTGCTCCAGGTAGCTGAGCTGAGATTCCCCAGCAGCCCAGCATGCAGACCATGGTGAAGCAGCTGTGCCCCTCCAGCCCATGGAGGTCCCTGGGGATACAGAGATCCACCTGCAGCCTATGGAGGACCCCATGCTGGAACAGGTGAACTCCCAAAGAAGGGTGGGACCCTGTTGGAAACTTGTGCTGGAGCAGGCTTCTGGCAGGCCCTGTGGAGAGACCCGTGCTGGAGCAGGTTCCTGAAGGGCTGCATGCTATTGAAGGGGCTCATGCTGGTGCAATTAATGAAGGACTTTCTTTGGTCGGCATGACTCCACCCTGGAGCAGGGGAAGACTCCCAGAGAAAATGAGAGATGAACTGTCCATAGCCCCTGTTTCCCATCCCCACTGCTGGTGAGGAGGAGAGAGATTTTGGGAGTGGAGTTGAGCCTGGAAGAAGGGAGGGATGGGGGAAGTTGTTTTCAAGAGTTAGTTTTTACTTCCAATTATTCAATATTATTATTATTCTATTTGGTTGGTAATAAATTCAACAAATTTTCCCAAGTCAAGTCTGTTTTGCCCATGACTGTAATTGGTGAGTGATCTCTTCCTGCCCTTATCTCGACCCATGCACCTTTCATTGTACCTCCTATCCCTGGTCCAGTTGAGTAGGGGAGTGGTAGAGCAGCTTTGCTGGGAACATGGTGTTCAGCCAGAATCAGCACAATTATGAATGGACCTCTACCCACTGGAAGCACTCCCATGAACACTGAGCAGGTGTGTTAGTGTCTGATAACACAAATAATTTCTCTGAATTGGAAAA